AGTCACGACAGCAGGTGTGAAGTGTCCACCTGGGAGCTCGTTAGACACTCTGTGCCTGGGTTCTATTGAGAGCTCATCACCTCGACACCCTCTGTCTGGCACTTTCCAAAATTCCAGACTCCCAGAAGGAAAGCAGTTCAGCATAAGCTATGCTGTTGGGTGAGGCCCAGTGAATCATTCTTATTTGTTAGGGAATAATGGGACACTCCTGAAATCTCGGGGGTCAGCCACCAGCCAAAAGGAGGGCTGGCCTTGCACCCATGCCCGTCTGAGGATGGCGGTCCCAGACCTGCTCTTTGTAATGCCACCTCTGCCGGGACACCTCATGTCGCCTGGCCACTGGGAAGATGAAGTAAGTGTTCTCGGGGAGATGAAGGAGTGCACGGTTCGACCGTTCTGCCCCGAACTAGACAGCTGCGTTACTTGTAGCAGCTGGAGTGATGTCTGATAGGTGAATGTTGAGTACTGCTGCGGCAGCAGTTTGCTCTCTGACCTCTGTGCTGCTGGACCCCGGAGGGCCACTTTGTCTGGGGCTGTGCCACATGGCCTGGGGGCACCTGTAAGAGATGGCAGACACAGAAGTCTTTCAAGCCATTGTTTGAGAAAAGAATTTGCTGGGCTGTTCCAGAGGCAAGTCCCCCAGGGCGGGGGGCGGGCTGCTTGTGGTTTGAACACAGGAAAGAAGCCGTGTTCCAGGGATGGGGTGGGGAAGCAGCCCCTCATCACAGGTGTTAAGAAGGGACTCCTGCTGTTCCCCTGGCTGCATGCTCTAGCAGGTGGGGGCCGTGGGGATGCCAGCTAAGCCCATGGGAATTTAATTTTCAGCTCATCTCTGCAGTGCTCCTTTAGAAAACATTATTCTGCTTTTCTCCTGAAGAGCACAGAAAATGCTCTTTATTTTTGCCACAGTGTGGGTGGAATGGCCACAGATGTAAGGCAGGCCGTGTCTGCGTGCTTTGTTTTCTGCGAATACAGACTTTACGTTCTAGAAAACATTCCCAAAAGGTCACTGTATTCCTCAGACTTGTAAGTTTGGTATATTATATTTATTTATTTATTTATTTATTTATTTATTTATTTATTTATTTATTTATTTTTAATTAAAAAAATTTAAAGATATTTAAAATTTATTTCAGAGAGCGAGCACGAGCAGGGGACAGAGGCAGAGAGAGAGAGAGGGAGAGGTAGGCTCACTTCTGATCAGGGAGCCGGATGTGGGGCTCGATCCCAGGACTCCAAAATCATCACCTGTGCTGAAGGCAGATGCTTTACCTACAGCACCCAGGCTCCCCTGTGGTATTCTTTTTTAAAGACATAAAATCAGATCTCATAAAGGACGTGAATGTTAAGTGTTTGTGAAGGGAGTGATATCATTACTGTTAATATTTCTGTAAATATATAGTATCCTGTGTGTGCCTTCACGGCTTCATGTAGCGGGTGTTTTCTCTGCCAGGTGTGTGTGCAGGTGCATTTGTGGATGAGGCGCCGGGGATGATGTCCCAGAGGTACATCTAGTGTCCAGGTCTTGAGCAGACAAAACCGGTGGGAGGTGCTACACTGGTGGGGTGTTGCTGGGAAGTAGGCACCCTCCAGGAGGGCTGGCCCGTGTACCACATATCTCCCAGAGGGGCTGTTGCTGGGGCCACAGAATGTTCTTTTCCCTTACATCTTCTCACTTGGTGTTCTGGCTCTGGAATGTCCTTGCTGTGCCCTTCAAAGGCATCCTGGCCACTGTGCAGGGTCACCCACACAGCCTGGGCTCCCTGAGCTGGCCGCTGTGCCCTGCCTCACTGGGTGCTGCCCTCTGAGCCCCATCTTGTCACCTGGGTGGGAGCCTGTCTGAAGGCCAGTCTTCTCTGCCTGGGACCCAAATCCAGAATGCCAAGGCCACAGCCCATCAATCTCTTCTGTTCCTTTCTAAATACAGAGTTTTTTGTTTTAAAAATTTTAAAGGCCCTCAGGTGTTACTCTTTTCTCATTGTTTGGATTTCCAAGAAACTCTATCTTCCCTACCTGGGTTTTGAAGAAATTGAGAAATAAAACAAAATAGTGGCAGATGGACACCGAAGAATAACTTTTATTTCTTCTAAATGAGAATCTTGAAATCCTATCTTGGTGTGAGAGCCAAATAAAGTGGCTGACCGAATCCCAGGATTACTTGGGCTTACCCACCCACCCAGCCAGTGCTGGGGCAGGGCGGGCCCCCTCACGTGCAGCAGAGCCTCAAGGGGGAGCAGCCTGTCCGGTGGCTTAGCCAGCTCGGAGAAGTGGAAGGAGGACTGAACCCATCGGCTCTCTGTCCTGCCAGGTTTAGCAATTGATAAGTTGCCTTCTTGCGGTGCGTATTCTGGGGATAGAGAAAGTCCAGGAGTGATGCCAGCTGAATCCCTTCGGAGAGGGAGAGGAGGACATCCACAGCCCATCAGGATGGGCCAGCTCCAGCCAAGACCCCACACCTTTGTTCACCTGAGACCACCAGGGGAGGGTAATAGAATGTACCCTGATGGCTCTAGAATTTGTTGGAACTGAACATTAGCTACATAATCTGCAAGACCTCTGCCCAGGGCTGTAGAATCAGTCTGCAGTTTATTTCCCATCCTGAATTATATCCAGGGATATTGTTCAACCTGGCTCGTCAGAAATTCTGCTGTGAGGTTAAGTGATAGTGTATAAACAAGGCAGTGTGCTCCAGATTTGAATATAAATCTCCTCTGTTATCCAATTTCCAGGGAGGAATTAAGTCTCAAAGGCTAAACCCTGGCAAGCTCACATCCAGACCCCAGATTTCTTTGCCCCTGCGAGTACTGATGAGTTTACAGTGCGTCCTCACCGTGTGCTGTTCTGTTGGATGCCCATGCCGTCAGGCCCAGAGCCCCCCAGCCCATGTGAGATGCGATCCCTGACCACCCTCCCTCTGTGGAACTCAGGGTTAGCGGGACCCCGGGTGGCCACCCGATGGAGGGGCGGTCACGCCAGGCCCTGCGGTGCCACCCTGGGAGCAGCCTTCGTGCTCGGCGCAGCTCTGGGACGTGCGCTGGCCGGCACCCTGGGTGGGGCCCAGAGCCTGTCACTCGAAATCCATGTGGGGAGGTCTCCCCGCGAGAGGGCAGGTCTGACTCTGAACATTTCCCACAGACGGGGAAGATGCCCCGTGGGTGATCCTCGTTCTGTCGCTGCTGCCCCAGGTGGAAGTGCCCTGTGGCCCTGGAGGGCCGTGTGGGCGGGTGCGCGGTGACCTCGGGGGGCCTACCGTGCGGCAGTGGGGCGGGGGTGGCAAAGGTCCCCGCCTCTGAGCCTGGCCTCCCGCACTGCTCCAGTCCGACCTTGGCCCTGAAACCTCCCTGCAGGTTCTGAGGCAGGTGGCGGTGGGTGCTGCCGGCTCGTCCCCAGGGCCCCCTGAGGCTGTGCCGCCAGCGGCCTGGGCGCTTCCAGGTGGAGATGTGGGGGGCCACCCGGGAGCTGTCCCCGCCCCTGCCTCTATGCCCTGCACCCTGCCCAGGTCACCCACACCCCACTGAGGACAGGGGCTCGCTGCCCTTGGCGGGGCTTGTGTGGCCTGCATGGTGCTGCTCCTGAGGACACACCGTTCCTGCCCGGCACTGGCCGCACTGGACCCCGTGTGAACAGCTGGGCCGAGGCCTGTGCTCACATGAGTCCAGGATCCACAAGGATGCTCTGGGGTCTCCGTTGCTCCAGGTTCTCTTCTTGTCCTTTTATCTTAGTGGCCGCAGAGGCCCTGGGATGGAGCACCCCGATCTACTGTATTCATTTCCTGTGGCTGCAAACAACACAGATGATTTATTGTCTCATAGCTCGGGAGGCCCAGCTTCTGACGTGTGCCTGGTCGGGCCAACTCAGGGTGTGGGTGGGAGGCTCCAGGGAGGTCTCCCAAGCTGACCTGGCTCCAGCAGCATCTTTTGGCTCGCAGCCCCTCCCTCTGTGTTTAGTGTTGCTGCGGCAGCTGGAGTCTTTCTCGTGTTCGTTTGGACTCTTGTCCCCCATCCCCCTTCTACTTGTGAGGCTCCTGGGTCTGCGGTGAGCCCTCCGCTGGTCCAGATAACTCCTTTTGGTCAGTGGATTGGCACCTTTGCGCCCTTTGGGAGGCTCTGCGCTTCGGCCGTAGGCCTCTCTGGGGCTGTCTCTGCCTTGCATGTGTGTCCCTGCGTGGACGCCTGTGCCTTTGGGGCCCAGGGGCCCTTCTGAAGGTGATGGGAGGCTGGCTTAGTCCCACCCTCATTTCTTGGTGCCCCTGCTTGTCTTGGGCCCTCCAGCACGGTCCCTGACCTGGTTTCCCAGACACCCCAGAGCAGGCCTACAAGGCAGCGTTATTCTCTTGGTGTGGACGACTGGGCGGAGCCAGAGACGTGATGTTGCTTATGAGGCTGCACAGCTCCTGAACAGTAGAGCGGGGCTCCTTTTGTGGGTCTGTTTGACCGAGGACTTGTCCTGCTCAAAGCCTACACTGGTTTACTTTAGTTCATTGACTCCTTCACCTGAGTTAACCGACAGTGGTCACATGTTGACACTTCCCTTGTGCAGCGGCCATGTCGTTGGCCCTGGGACTGAGGGTGTGATGCCGGCACCGTCAGCACCGGGCCTGCGCTGTTCCGTATCCAGTCTTCTGGCACTGCCGAGTGGCCTGCTGCCCATGCTCTGGCCAGGCAGCTGCTTCCAGCACACTTCTCAATGGGCTGTATGTGCCCACGCCCATTTGTTTGATGTAAATGTAAGTATCTGTATTTACATAAAGAGATGCTCCAGTAAATGCTCCCTGAGACAGGTGTGCTCGCCCTCTGACGTCGAGAGGGGCTGGACCTGACCCCAGACCAGATTACGCTGAGCCTCGGCCCTATGATGAGGCCTGACGTGGCATGCATAGATCAGTTGGTGAATTTGTTCTGCTGTGAAGCTGCTCACTTTTGTTCCAACCGCCTATTTCCCTTTGGGAGGGTGTGTTTTGTCTTCTGTGCATATGATATTTGTTGCTATTTTTCCCTTAGGACAACTATACCTTTGCCCAGCCTGGGATTCAGATGAAGGTGAAAATGTTGGAAGAGCTCGTGAGCCGGATTGATGGTAAGTCTGCTTCCTGAGCACCCGTCTCCCCATGGGGTGGGCAGGAGACAGTGGGAGGAGGTGGTAGGAGGTTCCGGACTCAGTCCCTGGCCCTCACCCTGGCAAGATGCTGTCCTCACTCAGCCTGTGGTCCTTGGCTCCCGTAGGGCAGGGCTGTGCGTTCTTCTGAGTAGGCTGCTGGAGCAGGAGCCTCCCCTTTTCTTTTTTTATTAAGGTGACATAATCAGAATTCAGTGCAGGCACTTTGCAGGGAGTAATGAGTGCAGACCAGAAGTGGGTAGCTCTCACTCCTTATTAAGCCCGATGATTGTCATAATCTGGGCGACAGCATGGTTGTTTATGGCTGTCCTTTGGCACTGTGTTCCCTGCCTTTGTGCATCATTTTGTTATCAAGGATGCTGGCATAATTTCTCCATGGAATCCAATTAATTACCAAGTCTGGAAATAACATCTTTAGTATTATAGAAAAATTATAGTGTGTGCTCGGCCGTTTTAGATTATGCTTTCATATTTAAGTGAGGGCTTTGAAATACTTTTTACCTTCATTCTTAAAATAATTTCCCCTATGATGTGCTGACTGTCATATTGCAATAGCAGAGTTTAATTAAATGAAAGTTGAGAGATAATGCCTGCCCATTCCAAGCATATTCTCCTGATAGTTTGTTACATTAATGAACAGAGCATTAACAAAGTGATACCAAGCAGAACCAGGCGTAGATTTGTGGCACCAGCCGGTCAGTAGTGAGGTACAGAGAAGTGAAAGGTTCTTTCATAAAGAGCCTCTTGTGAGCTCGGCAGGTGATTTCACTGAAGGTACAGAGAAACTGTAGTTTGCTTGAAATGTAGAGGTGGTGGTGTGCATTCTGGCGCAGCTTCTGCGTCCCTGCACATAACTGTGCTGCTTCCCTTGCTGTGCTGTTAGCAGTAGCAAACTCTTAACAGTAATAAGCTCCCCCCACAAAGGTGCTTGGTTTGGGGAACTATCGAATGATGTTATAAAATGGAGTCATACAAATTATAAACTCCATTTTGTTCCTTGATTGAATCTGATTTTCGACTATGTATCTAATGGTTATTACCTGATTTCCGTACGGTGAAGTTTTTCACGGTTCTTCCAATAATACTTAATTTGATTCAGTATATTTAGCTGCTTTCCAACGTGTCTACTCAAAATGCCATTTCCTGCTTGTGTAACTGCGTTGATCTTAACCTCACAGCGAGATCTCTGAGTTTTCCCCACTAGCAGGTTCACAACTGTCCTCAGTCTCAGTTCTTTAAAATCTGATTTGCAGTAGATGTGAATTACACTTCCCGAGCAGGCTCTTCACTTCCTCTTGTGTCCCTTCGAAGGCATATTTTATATTTTCGTGGATGTTAGAAAGTGGTGGTTAGTGCTTGTTTGTTCCAGGGCTGTAGTTTGGGGAAATGCTTGAATTGATTTTCTCTGGTGCTGTGGCTTAGAAAGAAACACATTGCAGATTTGCTGAATGATGGTTTAAAAGAGCAGCAACAATGACCAAAGGAATTCCAACTGAAGCTGTACTTTTTCATAAATCCCATTTTTTCAGGGCAATTTCTGAGGGAAGGTACTTTTGTCCTGCAGTATTTTTTTTTGTTTTGTTTTGTTTTGCTTAAAGGATCAGTTTTTCATGGCAGAGAAGCTTCTTTTACGTAATAGATAAATCTGTGTAGCCTATTTGTAACTGTTCTCCAAAGGAAATTTTAAATACCCAGGCTTTCCAAAAAGAAGTGCACACAGTGGACAGAGCTTGGGCTCTGGCTGGTGGGTGCCCATGTTACTCAACAGCCCCTTGGGAGAAGCACCTATAGGCCTCAGCCGGGGGAGTTCACCCTCCCCCACATTTTATTACTCACCTCTCGGAGAGAGAAATTGTAGACTAGGAACTTTTGTAGGGACTATAAAAATTTTACTAAGGGCAGGATTTGTTAGGAAGAAAAATTGCTCTAAAAAACCCTACTGCATCCTTTTTACATTTTAGGGGAAGGATAGCATTTATTTCAGAGCTTTTTGGCACTTTGGTGAAGGCACACACTTTCATGGGCTTGTTGATTAAGAAAGGTGAAGTTAATGAATAAAACTGGAAAATTCACAAGTCTGAGAAGATTAGACAACTGCTGAACAACCAATCAAAAGAGACATTAGTAAATACCTTGAGACAAACGAAAATGGGAAAGTGACATACCAAAATTCATTGGATGTAGCAAAAGCCATTCTAAGAGGGAAGTTCATACAATAAATGCCTATCTCAAGAAATGAGAAACATCCTAAATCAACAATCTAACTTTACATATTGAGGAACTAGAAAAAGAAGAACAAATGAAGGCCAAAGCTAGTAGAAGGAAGGAGGTAACAGATCAGAACAGAAATAAATGTTGTGGGCACTAAAAAGATATTAGAAAAGGTCAGTGAAACAAAGAGCTGGTTCTTTGGAAAGTAAACAGAGTTGACACACCTTCAGGTAGACTTACCAGAAAAGAGAGAAGGGACTCAGATAAATCCGAAATGCAAAAGGAGATGTACAGCTAATAGCACAGAGGTGCAAAGGATCATAAAAAACAACTACGAACAATTATCTGCCAATATATCAGACAACTTGGTTTGATTACCCACCAGCCAAGACTGAGTCATGGAGGAAGTAGAAAATCTGAACATTAGACCCTTACTAGCAAGGAGAGTGAGTCAGTAATCAGAAGTCTCCCAACAAACAAAAGTCTAGGACCAGACAGTTTCACTGGTGAATTCTACCAAATATTCAAGGAAAGATTGATACTAATCCTTCTCAAACCCTTTCAAAAAACAGAATAAAGGGGAACTCTTCTGAACACATTATGCAAAGCCAATATTACCCTGATACCAAGACCAGACAAGGATGCCATGCAAAAACAAAATTACAGGCCAGTATCCGTGATGAACATTGGTGCAAAAATCCTCAACAAAATATTAGAAAGTTGAATTCAACAATATATTAAAAAGATCACACATTGTGACCAAGGCCAGGGGTGCTAATATAGTTTTCAGATATGACAAAGCAGTCAGTGTGGTCCACCATGTTAACAAAATGAAGGATAAAAGTTATAGGATCATCACAGTAGATGTAGAAAAAGCATTTGGGGCAGCCCGGTGGCTCAGCGGTTTAGTGCCGCCTTTGGCTGGGGGCCTGATCCTGGAGACCCAGGATCGAGTGTACCACGTCAGGCTCCCAGCATGGAGCCTGCTATCCCTCTGCCTGTGTCTCTGCCTCTATCCCTCTCTCTCTCTCTCTCTCTCTGTGTCATTTCTCATGAATAAATAAATAAAATATTAAAAAATAGAAAAAGCATTTGATAAAATTCAACATTCATTTATGATAAAAGCTCTTAACAAAAGGTAAGTCTAGAAGGAACATACCTCAGCACAATAAAGGCCATGTATGACAAGCCCACAGATCATAGGTCAGCTGTGAGAAGCTGAAAGCTTTTCCTTTAAGATCAGGAAAAGACAAGGATGTCTCCTCTCACAACTTTTTTTAAACATAGTATTGAAAATCCTAGTCAGAGCAATTAGGCAAGAAAAAGAAAGGACATCCAAACTGGAAAAGAAGAAGTAAAATTGTCACTATCTGCAGATGAGATGGTATTATGTTAGAAAACCCCTGACTCCATCGAAAAATCTGTTAGAATTAATAAATGAATTTATTAGTAAAGTTGCAGGACAAAAAATCAGTGCAGCAAATCCGTTGTGTTTTTTATTTTTTATTTTTGGAGTTCAGTTTGCCAACATATAGCATAACACCCCGTGTTCATCCCACCAAGTGCCCCCCTCAGTGCCCATCACCCAGTCACCCCAACCCCCCGCCCACCTCCCCTTACACTACACCTTGTTCATTTCCCAGAGTTAGGGGTCTCTCATGTTTTGTCACCCTCACTGACATTTTCACTCATTTCCCTTTATTCCCTTTCACTAATTTTTATATTCCCCAAATGAATGAGACCATATAATGTTTGTCCTTTTCTGATTGACTTATTTCACTCAGCATAATACCCTCCAGGTTCCTCCATGTTGAAGCAAATGATGGGTATTTGTCCTTTCTGATGGCTGAGGAATATTCCATTGTATACATAAACCACATCCTCTTTATCCACTCATCTGTCGATGGACACTGAGGCTCCTTCCACAGTTTGGCTATTGTGGCCATTGCTGCTAGAAACATCGGGGTGCAGGTGTCCCAGCATTTCACTGCATCTGTATCTTTGGGGTAAATCCCCAGCAGTGCAATTGCTGGGTCGTAGGGCAGGTCTATTTTTAACTCTTTGAGGAACCTCCACACAGTTTTCCAGAGTGGCTGCACCAGTTCACATTCCCACCAACAGTGCAGGAGGGTTCCCCTTTCTCCGCATCCTCTCCAACATTTGTGGTTTCCTGCCTTGTTAATTTTCCCCATTTTCACTGGTGTGAGGTGGGATCTCATTGTATTTTGATTTGTATTTCCCTGATGGCAAGTGATGCAGAGCATTCTTTCATGTGCTTGTTGGCCACGTCTTTGTCTTCCTCTGTGAGATTTCTCTTCATGTCTTTTGCCCATTTCATGATTGGATTGTTTGTTTCTTTGCTGTTGAGTTGAATAAGTTCTTTATAGATCTTGGAAACTAGCCCTTTATCTGATATGTCATTTGCAAATATCTTCTCCCATTCTGTAGGTTGTCTTTGAGTTTTGTTGACTATTTCTTTTGCTGTGCAGAAGCTTCTTATCTTGATGAACTCCCAATAATTCATTTTTGCTTTTGTTTCTTTTGCCTTCATGGATGTATCTTGCAAGAAGTTGCTGTGGCCAAGTTCAAAAAGGGTGTTGCGTGTAGGATTTTGATGGATTCTTGTCTCACATTTAGATCTTTCACCCATTTTGAGTTTATCTTTGTGTCTGGTGTAAGAGAATGGTCTAGTTTCATTCTTCTGTACGTGGCTGTCCAATGTTCCCAGCACAATTATTGAAGAGACTGTC